TTTTGGAGCTAATTTTATAATTTGGCAATTTATTCCAGAAACAATATATTATTTTTTGGAAAAGTGTGTTTTGTTTATGAGAATATGCAATTTAATTTTATTCAATATGTTTTGTTACGTCCATGTCAGCAAATTATATATTATCTGACTAAATGGAATGAATTTGTTTTTAATTTTATTTTTATTTTAAAAAATGCAATTCTTTTTATACATGATGCTAGTAAAATTATGTTATGCAAATTGCCTTTTGCAAGAAACAACACTGCAGCATTAATTAAAACTACACTTATATTAACATATTAACTATTACACACATATCAATATTAGTGTCATATATTATATTTAAGATATAAAATATTATGATATTTTTAATGTTTATTTAAAACGGTTATTACACAAAAATAAAGTACATAATTTGAGTCATGTCTTTTTTACAATGAATGATTAAACGATAAAAGATTAATGAAAATACGATTAAACAAAAAATTGACTAGTTTAATAATCTTTAATAGTCTAACTTTCTATGATATTTTTGCACTTAATAATTCATGTTCGAAACATTCTAAATTTTCCAAAGCAGTTTGTATATTTATTAATAAGAAAGGTGTTCTATTTTGTTGTTATACGTAATAAAACTATTGTCTTTAAACACATTTGAGAATCTATGAATACTTTATACCTTATAAAATCAATTTATAATATTAATTTATCAGTTAATTTAATGTTAAAATTTTATGATAACTAACAACAGTTAAATGTTATAGTTACAAATTTGATATAAATTTGTTAGAAAGAATAGAAAAGTATTATAATATTGTATTTTATAAGCAATAAGAAAATAATCTGTTTAAGGTTTTGTTATTTTAATGATTAAAAATAAAAATTTTTTCTTTGCAGTTAATTGCAAGTAAAATTGTTATTTAATATTGATTAATATAAAAAATAATTTATACATTTTGTACATTCTGTATTGTTTATTGGAAATTTTAAAAAATACTTTTGCATGTTGCAGTTAAAGAATAAAATCAATTTTTTGTTTTTTAATTGTAAAAAAGATTTGACTCCATTAAAAATATTGCATGAGACTCGTCTTATATTGTACAAATAATCTTATATTTATTTCATAATCTATTATTTGCTTTTATTTGTTTTATAATTTAAGATTCAATTGCATAAAAAAACGATTATATTTAATATGTAGGATTCGGAGAATGAAGCTCGAAGTGAAAAGGAAAAAGAAACTTTGAAAACAAATGCAGATGTTGAAGATGTACTAAATGAAAAACCAAAGTTATGGCAAAGAAAAGAAAAAGAGGAAGAAAAGGAAGCAGAAGAAGAAAGCGAAGAAGAAGAAGAAGAGGAGGAGGAGGAGGAGGAGGGGAGGAGGAGGAGGAGGAGGAGAGGAGGAGGAGGAGGAGGAGGAGGAGGAAGAGGAAGAAAAAAAAGAGGAGGAAAAAAGAAGAAGAGGAAGAAGAAGAAGTAGAAGTTGAAGATAGAAGAAGAAGGAGGAGGAGGAGGAAGGAAGAAGAAGAAGAAGAGAAGAAGGAAGAGAAGAGGAGAAGAAGAAGGAAGGAGGAGGAGGAGGAGGAGGAGAGAAGAAGAAGAAGAAGAAGAAGAAGAAGAAGAAGAGAGAAGAAGAAAAGGAAAAAGAGAAAGAGATATGGAAGTGAGACATGGAAAGGAAGAGGAGAATAAAAAAGAGGAAAAAGTTAAAGAGAAGAAGGCAAGAAAAGAATATACATACTGGAAACATAAAATGAAAAATTTAAAGAAAAATGCAGAAAACTAATCAAGATTAAAAAGGTTAAACAATTTTGTTTCCTTAAGCGGATCAGTGTTTATCAATCTTTAAAGATTGATCTCTTTATTATAATGAAAAAAAACTTATATAATTACTGCAATAATTATAAGAAAAAGCTAATATGTATAAATATACTCCAATATAAAAATACATAAACTTATTGATTAAGCACTGCCAGAAACTTAAAATGTAAATCTTATATGTATCGCATTTTTGTTTTTTAATTGTTATATTCAACGTTTTATAGAATCATAAAATTGACCACAGGGGCCAAAAGAAAGAGGCAGTGCTATCATCTATGCCATGTTACAATAGCATAGATACTTCGATCTGATAACATATGTTATATGCCATGTTATTACTCTATGTACTTAAAAAGTCATTTATAAAATCTTTTAGGTCTTGCAAATGCCAAGAAAATAAAAAAATAACAGGAAAAGTTATGAATCTTTCCAGATGTATCATACGGGGTAAATATCAAACTTGGTGATTGGCAAGCACTGATACAACTTGTAAAAGCCAAAAATCTAATCTTCCTTTTTTCATAAGTAGAAGGTTCTCGTTCGTAAATCTTTTGCTTCATTTACTAATCGTTCTTTAAATATTTATATTAAATTGTAGCATTTTGTGTTTTTATATTTTTAGTGTTCTTTTAGTAGGTATAACATTTTATAATGCTTTTCAATTTCTATTTATTATTGTATATTTTATTGTATTATTGTTAGAATATTTTATCATTTCAATATTTCTGACTTTGATTTGTAACTGTAGATTAAAAATATATTTGTTTAAAAATACATTCAAAGTTTTTATAAATCTATAATAATGTTTAATAAATGATAATATTTTATCATATATAAACTTAACAAATCCAATATTTTTTAATCCAGTAAAATATAAAGCAGATATTTCTGTTCTCTATTCATTTTATAATTTATAGAATCAAATAAATTTGATTTTATTAATGTTATTTACTTTTACACAAAAGTCAATAATAATAGCAAATAATTCAAAAAACGGGTATAAAAAGAGAGAGAGATGATATTGAAGAAAATGCAAATGTTAATTTATAAATCGTGTAAAAGTATAGTTGATATAGATTAAAATATTATTCATCAAGTATATGTTATCAACAACATTCTTTATATATATAATTATATTTTATATTATGTAAAAATGTTACTGTTTTCATGATATATTTAAAGCATATGAACAATGTTAAAAAAGTGATTTCATTAAATAAAGCAGCACATCTTTTATAATAATCTTCAATCTTAGATTGTATTTTTGTGAAATTTTAAATTATTTTCTAAAAATACTTATTCATATACTTGTTTAGATTCTTCGACTCTTATAGCCAAAATTATTTTATTGTAATAAAAAAATATTTATGTAAGATATGGTTATGAGAGAAATTAGTAATTTGTATTATATATTATTAGAAAACGCAATGTAGATAAATTTTAGTAACAATGAAGTAATTCATAAAGGAATAATAAACTACTTTGATTTATATATAGAAACTATAACTATATATTACATATAAATATATATAGTATTAGTTGAAATTAATTTTTATTAAAAATACTTAATCATATATAATATATATTACAGATATTTATAAATACAAAGTGCTATTAGTTACATATATGTAGTAACTATAAATATTGTTATTACAAAAAACAAATATATAATACACTAATACATATATACATATATGTGTATTTGAAAATCACTTATTTTTAAATAAATATTAGATTTAATTTAAGACTATTTGAGAAAATCATGTATTCAAAACTATGTTCTTTTTTATTCTTTTTATACTTTATACATTATTTGTTTTTTAATTTCTTTGCAAATTAATTCAGAAAACTGCAACCATGAAAGATGATTATATATAAATATGTAAATAGTAAATTATGAGGATATACGAAATTATGTGCATAAATAAAGAATATGTGAATGTTTCTAATATATATAAAATATATATATATATATATATATTTTTTTTTTTTTTTTTTTTTGTTATTCAAATACATACACGAAAGAAAAGACACAATAAGTACATATATTTTCTTATAAAAACAAAATTTTCTTAAATCTTTTAGGTTGACATAATTTTCTTTATTTAATTTAGACTTTTAATTTGATTCTTTGGATTTTATCTCGAGAGATATATATGCAATCTCACAGACTCCAGACATAAAATATGTGCCCAGATAGCCACAGTAATTATGGGTGTGTAAGTGTATGTACAAGTACTATGACATATACATACACCTATATTCAAATCTTGCACGTAACCTCTGTTTCATATTTTTCTTTCGAATTTCGATTTTTCAACAATAGAAAAAACAAAAAATAATTGTTCTATAAGGAATATTTCAGTTTAAATATCCACACGTCTTCTACTTTTATCTTTAATATACAGTAAATTATGACAAAATTTTCAAAGGTGAACCTTACATAACCTGTGTACAAAATTTCTTCAAGTTTTCGTTGTTATTCAAAGAATTTTATAAATATATATACATATTTTGAGAAAATATTCTTGACATTAAAAGCAGAGGAATCGTTATTCCATGTGTGACATACGTGATGATCGATTATTCGAGCTGTTGGATCGAGTGCGTTAAGACAGAGGAGTACTTTGCACGGTTCTTTGATGAAAAATTTTTCATAAATGAGAATCCCACGTTTCGTTCGTAATGTTTTGATAGGCATCCCGATTGGGTTTGCTTTTTGCGACACGGTTGGATATGTTGCAAGAGTAGACGGAATTTCTATGCAACCTGCCTTGAATCCAGATCTACGGTATCCTGATTATGTGTTTTTAAATCGTTGGTCAATCCGTAATCAAAAGAAGATACAACGTGGCGATATAGTCTGCATCACATCTCCCAAAGTGCCAAACCAAACACTCATCAAGAGAGTTGTAGGACTTGGCGGAGACATTGTGGACACACATGGATATAAGACCCGTGACCTTCAAGTATGGATATGATACGTAACTATTGGATGCATATAATAGTATTGGAGCTTTAATAGATTGATAACAGCTATGTTTCGATAGTCTTAATGAAATATAATGTTTTTAACACAGGTACCAGAAGGGCATTGTTGGTTGGAAGGAGATCACACTGGGCATTCTATGGACTCTAATATCTTTGGACCAGTTTCTCTGAGTCTAATAGTAGCGAAAGCTACTCATATAGTTTGGCCACCAAATAGATGGCAACAGTTATATTCTACAAAGTTTAATCATGAGAGCTGTTAGTTTTGTGAAGAAACTGCAATGGGAATTACCTGGCACTGTATGCAGGTAAGTTTAATTATCACAGACTGTTAGCATTGTGAATAATTTGAGAGTGAGATTTATTTGAATATTATGTGTAGGCATGGCTTGACAATAGGAGATGTTGACAATGATGGTGATAATGAATTGGTCGTTGGTACTTATGAAGGAGAACTGTATATCTTCAAGGTAAAATATGATGCTAACACTATTAAAAATTTTGTTTTAAAGTTATATATACATATATTTAATATTTATTTCTATATGACAGGGAACAGAATTATGGCAGAAGATTACAGGTCTTGGTCTTATAACCAGTGTAGCAATTGGAGATATTTTTAATTATGGACGCAATGCACTTGTTGTCATCTGTGCTGATGGATGGACACATATATTTTACAGTCCTAGATCTGTCAATCCTAATAATGCAAATGTACCTGTAGGTCAACATATTGGCAAAGATGCAAATGAGCAAGAAAATTTCAAAACGAATATCGGTGAGTTTGAGTTTTAGGATGTAAACCGATATGCTTTATGGAATAGCATATAAAACCTAGTTTATGCTATAAACAACTCACACAGAACATATATGTGCAGATATAAATTCCCAAAACTCGGAACATATTGACAATACTATTGAAATAAATGAACTCTCTGGAAAAATGGAATGTGTACATGTACAAAGAATCCCAACCAATACAAAGATAGTATTAATAGCTGATGTTGATAAAGATGGTGCCAATGAGATGATTCTTGGTCTGACGGATCGTGTTGTTAGATCCTACAGATGGTCAAGTAATGCTGACTTGGGAACGGGAAAATTGATTGGCCTAAATAAATGGGAATGCACTGATCAAATAGGAACAGTTACACTGCAGGTATGCCAAATTATATAATGGTGATTATAATTCAATTATTATTGATTATAATATAAAAAGATATATTAGATACTGAAATGCTGATATACATTTTTATTTAGCATACTGGCGATGGTACACCAACTCTACTGGTTGCACAACCTGGTGGTACATTTATGCGGATTAAATGCAACCCTACTGATTGTCACTCAAAGGATACTTCTTGCGAGGCTGTTGATTATCAGACATTAGGGATATCTAGAATGCGTAATCAAAGTATTTCAACTGAGATTATCGGAGATTTAGAACCAGGAATGACGCCATTTATTTCGACACTTGAATCTAAAATGTCTAATTATATGCCTAAAGATAAATCGTCAAAGCAAAATTTTGCAGATGACAGCCAACTAGATATGAAAACCTTTAAGTCCGCATCGCTTGAATTCAAAAGAAATTATTCGCAACCCGTGATTCGGAAAAAGAGTCTGGATATGGCAATCGAATATAATAGAGATTTTACAACAGAGACTCAACAACTAGTTAGGTTTTATAGTCCTGCTGATTTTTCAAGTGCTGACGAAATGGATGGCAACATGATCAGTGACAACGTTAGCCTCGCAGAATTTGAGAGAGAATTCAGTGGAAAAGTCAAGAAAACAACAGAAGACAAAGTGTTACCATCGTTTAAGGATTTTTCCATCAATGATAAGAATATAAAAAGTAATGATAGTGATACCAATAATGTGAATCAACATGAGAAAAAGACGAGGATTCGAATAATATGATCAGTAATGAAAGTACTCTGAAGGAAAACCTTATGCTTTAGCAACACTTGATGGAACCATTATGTTAGTGCAAGATGAAATTATTTTGTGGTAAGTACATATAACAATTTATTTAAATTTAATTTGTATAATTTGCGAAATATATCTCATGTTGTCTTTTATTTACAGGGCTATGCAAGTAGATCATCAGATATTCGCTCTGAGTCGATTGGATGTCACAGGTAATAATTCAGACGAGATAATCGCCTGTGCTTGGGATGGTCAGACATATATTTTGGATCAACAACGGCACAGCGTACGCTTTCAGTTTGAGGAACCGGTCAAAGCTTTCTGTACGGGAAATTACAACGTGACTCCGGGCACATCTAGTCCCAGCCTAGTATACAACACTTTTAATAACAAGGTTTGATGAATTAATAAATTAATTGATCGTTAATGATTTGTATGATGATTGTGTATGATCATTATATTTTTTATCTCTTCTAGATTTTCCTTTACTACGATGTTGTTCTCCCGAGCATGACGATAAATTCTCTCAATCCCATGAAAGACTTTGAATCTGACGAAATGCAAACCTTACAGGAATTATTGGGCGAGTGCAGTACTAACGCGAAACAGAAAAAGATGCAACAGTTAACCGAATGGCTGTTATACGGTGTACATTAGTATATGGAACAAATAATATATAATATATGGAAGGAAATGTGTAATAAAATATGCATATATTCTAAAATATGCATTATTTTTGTTCCTCACATTTCCAACATTATTATTTATATAATGTTAGAAATAAAAATCGACCGAAGATGCTTGTTCCTGGACACATGTAATCAATTTCCAATTAAAAATATTCAGTTTTTAAATTGTAATAATAATTGTGAATATATTCTTCGGTATCTTTTATATTCCGTATTCATCGGGATATTTATGCATATACATTTATCGTTACTTGCTTATTTGCCAAAAATACATCAACTTTTCGTCAGTCATATATTCTTCACAATAACGCAATATATCCTATAAGATATATGCCAGACGAAAAGTTAATGCAATTTTTTGCAAAGTAAGTGACTGACAATATCAGTGAAAATAATTTTATAGAGTACAGCGTAAAGCCGTCTAAGAATTCTTCCCTATTTGCGGAACTTTGCCAGTCACAGTATTTTATCTACAGTGTCATAAATCGAACTGACATTTCATTAAATATCAGCCTAACATATAGTATCGCATTGCATGTTATCATTGTCAGTGGGTATGTAGATTTCGTCAGGTACTTTTCCAAATTCTTGCGAGACTGTTTTATTAGATATATTATACATGATCAAATCGTGGATATGAATAGTGCATTTAAATATTAATTTAGACCATCGTATTGAACAAGTAGGAAGGAAATAATCGAAATATAATAAATGTAAGTATATAATATGTAGCATATATTTGTAATTAAAATTTTGATGCAAAATTTAGAATAAAATTAAATTTATTTCCATTCGAATATAAAATAATAACGCAAAGGAAACACATAAAATATAAAATAATAATTTTATGTTTAAAATGTCAATAAAACAAAAACCAATTAAGAAATTACCAATAATTATTAAGCAATAATTAAAGAGGATAATATTGAATATTATTAAATATTACGCACTTTACATAATAAATTAGGAGAGGCAATTAGAAATACTCGCAGTTAATAACCCCGTTTAGTTATCGTTTATATATATCGAAAGACCGGTAATGTATAATCTTACTTTTTAGTTTGCAACAAGAGAAAGAGAGTTCTTGGTGTTCTAATAGTTCAAACGCGAGATAGTCTAACAATTACATTTTAGGCGCATGTAACCAAGTTAAAACGCGGATATTTGAATATCTCTGAGTTGGGTTAATGAACGGGAATTAACGAATCTATAGGATGATCAATGTCACGGAGTCGTTTTTGTGGGTCACGAATTGAAGGAACTCACCTTTGGATGGACCGATTACATATTGTTCGGCGGTCTGCTGGGCATCAGCGTCCTCATCGGTATTTACTTTGGCTTCTTCAGCACGAAACAGGACAATACTACCGAATATTTGCTCGGAGGCAAAACCATGTCCTTTATTCCGATTAGCATGAGCCTCATAGCCAGGTGACTAATATGTGTTTTACGTCTCTTCCTAATAATGTTGTCTTCATCTATGAGAGTAGGACAATCTGCAAGAGAAAAAAATATTTTTAATTATATATATTTAATTAAGCAAGCTATTTTTCCGCGTACATTTTTTATACAAAATCTTTACCATACATATAGAAAGATAATAGTATATTAAATTTCATCTAATCATGTCAACAAAAGTTAAATTAAAAATTGATTTTACACAAAGAATCTTGAAATTGTTGGATATCTATCTTTCTAAATACAGAATCCTTTATTTAATTTAAAGAGAAAATATATCGAGAAATGTTGCAATTATAATAAAAGTTTTGGCAAAATGGAACAAAATCAAAGAACATTTAAAATAAAAGCTAGGACTTTTGTTTTGTAACATTATTATTATAAAAAGGGATACGGGAGATGACCAAGAACTAATTAATTAATCAGACTTATGTTCTTTTCTAAGCCTTATATTAAAATTATGATAAATAAAATTTATCTAATTTAAAGAATAAAATTTATTAACTCATTTAATTTTTAATTCGCGTGATAAATTCTTCAATTTTTAATCGTTAATTAATCTAAAGCTATTAGTATCTTTTTACGGAAAAACTTTGTTGAGTTAATTTAAAAATAAGATGAAAAGCAACGATTCTGTATTTAGAAAATATTTAACAGAAGATCTCAGAACACCCTATATAATTTAATTAAAATAATCATAAATAATTATTTGCGATTATTTTTAAATAAATTATTAATTAATTATAATTAATTAAAAATTTAATGAAAAATAAAATGAAAGTGGAAGATTTATTTTTAATGAAGATAAAATTGATTTCAGTCACATATCGGGGGTGTCTTTGCTCGGCGTGCCCTCCGAAGTATATCAATACGGAACTCAATATGCAGCGTGCATTTTTCATCCTTCATCAGTTGTCTCTTAATCGTAGTCGTATACCTGCCGGTGTTTCACAAGCTACAACTAACGAGCACTTTCGAGTATTTGGAAATTAGATTCGCCAGGCCCGTGCGTATATTAGCATCCTTTCTCTACACCCTTTCGCTGGTGGTTTATGTGCCGTTGATAATCTACGTGCCGGCATTAGCTTTCTCGCAAGCAACAGGGATGAATCTGCATTACGTTGCGCCGGTGATATGCATGGTGTGCATTTTCTACACAACCATTGTAAGTGAAACAAATTTATGTATATAATATATATTTTAGCAATATTATAGCAATATAATATATATTAAAGCAATTTTAATTATTGTTTTAAATTTTTAATTTTTATATATAATATATGTTTACTATCGAAGATTGTTAAATTTTTTTTAGAAAAAAAAGGTTTAATATTTATTTGTAAGAAGATTTGAGAAGATCCTCTTGAGAATATTTCTGATGTATTTATAAGATTTAATAGACATTATGTTAGGAATACCAGATGCTGTTATCGTTTATTAACATTCGCACGTGCTGCATATTGAAATAGAGATTACCGAGATTATAGAAGATGTAGAATGATCATATCTAGATTAGCTAGAAGATCGCGAGGAGCTCCAAAATAAAACATCTATGACGTCTTTATATGTCATCTTGAAACTGTAGCATTATCAGATATCGTAGGCTATTTAGACGAAAGGTAAAAGTGACAGTTATAAATAAATGACTATTTAAAATGGAATTATCTAGAGATTTGTTGAGAACGCAATTGTAGTCTTATCATTTTCAAAAGTTGCTGAATTATTTATGACGCAACATCGCGCGATGCGTCGAGAGAATAACGATTGTATCGCCACGTCATTTGAATAAAATACACAAAAGCAAGAGGCGCCGTCTATTTGCCTTTGTCTTTCGTTTGTTTAGACAATAGTACGCTGAATATTCACATGATATGCAGAAGATAGGTACATTATTTACGCAAGTACGCACTAGAGACAAGTCTTGATATATAAAAGATTAACATGCGTTAATGAAGAATAAACGCTTTTTGAAAACATTTGATATAATTGTTTTTCTAAAATGCATTCTAGATAATTACGTTACAAAGTGCGCATACATTATAAAAATTAAAATTATTATTATTAAAATACGCATCAAGTATTAACTTTTTCAATATATATCTACGATAAAATATTTATATATGTATACCGATAATGATTTATAAAATACATAAATCACGGCGCTCCATTGTAACGTCATTATGCAATTGTGCGTTACGATATCTTTTCTCCCCCGGGTTTACGTTTCACCGACTCCCCAATCGTACCGTTTGATTCTCCGCACGTCGCGTAGTGACTGACACTGATACCTTTATTGTATCGCGAGTAATCTCTCTTTGAAAAAACTTATAGGGTGGTCTGAAGGCTGTCGTATGGGCGGATACGGTTCAGATGACAGTGACTCTCGGAAGTCTAGTTGCCGTTCTGATTTTGGGGACCATCGCCGTAGGCGGCGTCCGCGAAACCTGGAGAATAGCCGAAGAAGGTGGTAGAATTGTGTTTTGGAAGTAAGAACGGTATTTGTGTATACTTCTTATATATACTATAATTTATTAAAAAGAGAGGACCGTTATTAAAAATGAAACAATGGATATATATATATATATATATATATATATATATATATATAAGTGTACATTTCGCGCGTTTTGCTTTATTAAGAACTGCACGTCAATGTCAATTAATTAAATTACGTCGATTGCGTTAGCGTAAACCAATATCATAATGTTACTCTGCGCGGCTTTTCCAAATATTAAATAGTATTGTGTATGTTATATTATTTCAACTCTTCAAATATTAAACATTGCGTTCACGTATGCGAACTTTGCACCTATGCATTATTTTTTCTTAGTTACATTGCCGCATTTTCTCCATAAGATTTTTAGTATAGCAATATATAAATTTGACAAAATAATGCAATATAGCAACGTGTGCTTATTTAATTTTCAGTCTATAAAATTACGATTAATTAGAGAATAAAATAAACTTCAAACTGTTACATACATCATAAAAACCTGAGAATTGTAGGCGTATATAAAACTGAACCAGAACTTCAGCTGTTTAAATTTGTCAATTTTTTTATAGTATGGATCCCAGCCCTTTTGTTAGAAATTCATTTTGGGGTATGTCAGTAGGAATGACAATGACATGGCTAGCAGGATTAGGAATTAACCAAGTTTCTATGCAAAGATTCCTAGCAGTGCCTACCGTTAAGGAAGCAAGAAAGTAAGTTTGCAAGTATCAGAATTATTTGAAACAAATGACAGTTATTTAATGGAAATATTTTTGCAGATCAATTTGGCTCCTAGCTGTAGGTTTAGTAGTGGTAAAATACATTTCCGTTTTCACCGGCCTCACAATGTACGCAAGATATCATAAATGCGATCCCATAACTGCGCACGTAAGTTTTGACAGTTATTAGCTTTTAACTTACCACACATATTCAATTTTCTGTTCTAAGTAGCTATGAAGAACGTTTGATAAATATTACTCGGAATTTCCTTTTAAAAATCATTCTTTTTGAGATTTCAATATGTCATACATTTAAAAATTTTTTGAATAGAAGAAATAGTTTAAACTCGTATAATATAATGTTTTTGTAATATTCATTTCATAAAATAATTTTTTTATTAAATTTACCGTTAGTTATAAACTCTTTGATTCGGCTTATCTCTTTTAACCATACTCTTATATCGCATCTCGTGTAGAGATAAATCGTGCAATTAAAGTAAGATTAAAAAGTCGGGCAGTTATAAAGGATTAAATAAAAATGCCTCTCGTAAAGATTCCAGTAAGGGAATTAACTTTGTTTTCAGGTGGTAGCAAGGAGCGACAAGATATTGCCATATTACGTGCTAGATGTAGCCGCTGATATTCCAGGACTTCCTGGCCTCTTTCTCGCCGGTCTGGTGAGCGCCGGTCTCTCGACGATGAGCGCCGGACTGAACACAGTCGCCGGCACGATTTACGAGGATTTCATCGATCGCTGGATGCCAGAGAGCAACAATAAAGAGACTAAAGCCGCCAACATTATGAAGGTACAAAGACGGAACATATTACGGAACATATATATCTGAAATCGCGGTAAAAACAAGAGATCTTCAGTCTCTTTTCCTCTTCCGTGATACGACATCATTAAAGCGCGATTCGTAAAATAAAAATAATCTGGATAAATGCATGTGCGTATCATTGTCTTAGCAAAAGCATTCAGTTCTCTATGTTATAACTCTAACGCAGCACACATATCCCGAAGACGTTCAGAGAACATCCTGAGAATGTCCTCTGGATATCCTCTGAATATCTTTCGGATATGTTGTCCTATTAGAGAAATAGACGAGAGATCAAGCGATGCATTCCATAATGGCTTATGTCATACTCAGGTCACGGTGGTTATCTTAGGCATCCTGTGCGTGGGCATGGTGTTCCTTGTGGACCGTCTCGGCGACATCTTCCAGCTGTCCTTGACCGTGACCGGTATCACCGCCGGTACGATGCTGGGTTTGTTCTCGCTCGGGATGCTGATACCCTGGGCGACGACCAAGGGAGCGGTGGTCGGCGGACTGTTCTCGATGGTGACGATGGTCTGGATCATTGTCGGCGCGCAATGGCATATGGCAAATCGTAGTTTCTATTACGAACCGCTGCCCTCTACGACCGAGGGTTGTCTGAACGCGTCTAGTTTGTTCAATAAAACGAACGCAACGACGCAGAATCCGATTCAAGTCGAATCCGTGGACGACGAGCCTTTCGTCCTTTACAGGATATCCTTCATGTACTACACGTTACTGGGCGCCCTGATCGTGATAGCGATCGGCACGATTGTCAGCTTCATCTGCGGCGCTTCTGACTTGAGCGAAGTCGATCGAGATCACTTCTCACCGTTCATCACCAGGTATGTATTCGTATGCCTCATCGTTATGATTTCGAAATATAGAATGTATGAAATATGAAAAGCACAAAAAATCGGAATATCTATATCATTATAAAAATTAATCTATATTTTTTCATTCTTATTTCATATATCTATACGTATATTATATATATGTTCGAAAATAGCAAAAAGATAACGTCAAGAAAAAAATTGATCATTTTTATCAATTTTGGTATCCTACATAAAAATTTAATTCTGGAATCTAATCAGTTTGAAATATTTTTATCATTTATATATGTATATATAAATATTCTTTGTTAATTTTTGATATTGTATACTATATTATATCATTTGCAGATTTATGCCACCAAAAAAATATATGGAAGTATCGTTGCACACAGTACCGACAACACTGATAACTAATTCGGAAAAAGAGGAGCTGAAATCTTAAAACTGTGTTTTTTATCCTCGCGAATCTTTTCTTCGATATTACATAAGACATTATTACAGCAAAATCATTCGATTGCAAAATTCTATGATCTCTAATATAATTACGTACTCCATAATCGAACATACATAAGTACATGTTAAATATTTTATAATCTAATTTCCTCCGAATTTCAGTTGAAGACTACCTTGAGAGAAGACTAATCCAAACTTTTAATATTAATGCAAAAGTATTTAGAAAATATATATTTAAACCGTCCAAGAATAAAGAATAAAATCAATAAATCCTTAATACCATAAATTATTGGAAGACAGAGCGATCGACAGACAAACAGACGCATTTGCCATGCAGGGGATAACTGTATCTAACTGGCTCGTTCAGAGTTGAAAGCACCCATTAGAACGTCGATGAGGGTGTCAAATTGACTAAATTATATATCTGCCCCACGCATCTCAATACAAACAAGTCTCTCCCATCTGATACATCTGGAGGAACGATGCCTATCGGATTAGGATACTGAATGTAAATGCAGCGGGAGTTTTTTGTCGAGTCATTCGTCGAGTCTCTCTTTAAAATCCGCGATGGATCGATTCTGCGTGAACAAATTTTTAAATCTGTGACTCATTTCTCGAGAAACGCGTAAAGTCGTCGTCTCGATCACAAACCAGTTTATTGTCAAAAATGTCCCCAGACGATACGGAGAATTTCTTATCAATATATCCGAGACGCGATCTCTATCGTCAACTTTTAAGCGAAGAAAACTTGGAAACTATTTCGCGGGAACATTCCACAACCATAGCAGAGAAACGACGTGTCCTATCTCAAAGCGGCGACCACATTCCACCGCGGAGCGGTTTTATTTTATTGGACTGAAAGGTGTCAAATATAGGTGGCAGGGAGAACCCATCTACTTACACATACAGACACGCGAGTTTGGGGGAACCATCCGCCTCCATTCCCTCCTTCTTCTTTCTATTCGATTTGATCTCAACGTGTGAGTAAAATCCCGAAGTGAGGACCCGGTTCGCATTGTGACCGGGTGACAGATTTTTGACAGATTCTGTCTGATTTGGTGTCGAGTGACAGACCTGAGAGGCCCGATCGCGCGCAGCTTCCTCATCATTGGTACCGGCCCTCTTTACACCGAGTATCTCTCAAAAGTGACGTTTGACCATGCTCCGCTCAGATAATCCTTTTCATAATTTTTATATATTTATAACATTACGATAACGATACAAATTTGAGAATTGAAAGAAGAAATTACATTTATACCGAAAGCAAATGCATCTTAAAAACCTGAATTATAAATTTTAAAAAAGCATGTAGATTGCGGAAATCAAAAATGAATCAAAGATGTTATTTCTCTCTTTCTCTTTTTATATTTATATAGCTTGCTATTGTGTTCTTTATGTTACAGCTATTTCTTATGTTACGTTCCCAATATTACAATCAGCCAAACTATACCTATATACAAAGACAAATTTTCGGGATTCGGTCGCAGCTACTTACCTGGTTTCTTTAGAGTTCCGCTATACATATATGCGAAATCGTCATAAAAGGCCAGAGGGATACGACTTATTTTGTGGACAATGCGCGCGGTCAGGCGCTTGTATAAAGACGCATAATACATTTCGCTAACGTGAAAATTATTCTGTCAAACATTCGGCTGTCGGATTTATGCCGGCTAGGACACTCTTTTTCGGAGAAGACACGTCAATCGCGGCTGCTTTCAGCAGATGCCGAAAGGGTGTCTCGGTCAATCAGATGCATACCGATTCGCGACGATTGTTAGTATAGGCAACAAAAAATAATTGCAAATAGTCACCCGGTGTTTAATTTTCAAACAGTCAATTCAACATTTATTAGCTTTGTTACATCTCCTGTTGAATTGACAATATGATTCTATTAGAACGTCCGAACTAATGGCAATTATTAAGTACATTATGCACAAATAAAATGCAAAATTTGAGAAGAGAATATAATTATAAACGTATATAAGATGATTCAATAAGTATCATAACAAGCACATTCATATTTTTTTGTAAAAGATATTTTATTTCGAATCACAAGTGCACAAACTAAGATTGAGAAATTCAATCGTTTTAAAAGAATTTCTGACTTGCCCGTCTTCGATTGCCATTACTGCGTTTTTGTTGTAAAAACTGCCGCGTGACGAAACACGCGCACAATAGCCTCGAGACGAGGTGGAAGACTACAAAACAGCTCCCGCTTGCAAACACGCGGAATATTGTGACGTTTCTTCTCCGAGTGACATTCAATTTTCAGGCTGGTAACGTCTCGCGTGCCGTATAGAATTTAGAGAATACGATATATCCCTGCACATCCCCAAACCTCCCCCTTTTCGTATCGTCGATCCAGCTACTCTAGGCTCGCAGCCGGGGTTTTCTCTTGTAGTAAATACAAACAAATACAACAATCGGCCTCCGTTTCTGCCCACGAGATCGACGGGACCGGCGAACAGAAGGTGTATCACATGTAGTACAGGGATGATCAACTGACAGTTCTAACGTGAGCCGTCGAGTTCAAATTTTGCGTTGAAAAGTCGATCTTTTGTCACCTCTTATCGCTCTATCTTTCTTAAATAAAATATATTTTAAATAAGAAAATTATTCCAGAAAATTTTCATGATCCCAAAATGTATTTTCAAGTTTTCAATTCATAATCAAAAAAATTGTTTGAAGAAAATTTAGATCAATCGATTTTCAGAATTTTTTCTCATCAAAAAAAGTTGTATTTTTGCATTATTTTTTTCTCATGCTATCACTTTTTCTCATTTTTTCTCATACGTTATTCAAAGAATAACATATTTGGATTCTAAAAAAAAAAGAGTTGACTGTCCCTCGAGCACAACTCAACTAGTCTGTGAATATGAAAATACACGCAACACGCTCGGAGAAAGAGCTGAAATGTACACATATGTGATGGATCAAATCACACAAAGAAAACAGCCTAAATAGCTGCATAAAAGGTTTGTCATGGAATAAAATATTCATTTTAAAAATATTAACGTACTAATCCTCGAACTTTCCGATATATCTTATGATTTTTATTTCTCTACATTTTTATTTATTTTTTAATAAAAATATGGTACTAAATTTTTCAAGCTTATATAAAGCTGCTATCTTTTAATATATTTCCTCTGTTATTATTTTCTATTTAATAGACAATATATGCCAGAAAATTAAATGTACATTATACTAAACAAGAAATTAAGATTTAAAATTTTTTGTCATATTTAATAATCTTTTTTACATTTATTGAATAAAATTTTGTCTTTATCTATCTTATATCATTTATCTTTCATTACGCGATTTTAATAATAATTAGCTGAAAAGTATATTATATAATAGCAGGCGAGATGAAAAGCGAGTTCGTTTCTGGTTAAATGTATCGTATACAAATATATATGATATTCTGTTGACACATAACTATACACTCGGCAAAAGAGGAGAAATATACATGTATCCTTGTAGCAGCAAAGTATAGATTGTACAAAGAAAGTTAGAATATGCTGCCTGGCTCCGGACCTATCCCTGCCTCCTGCCTCTTCTGTCGAGTAGAAAAGGTCACGTTTATTCTCCGGTAATACATCTGTACAGGTTGCCTTAAAAGCAAGATACACATTTTTCTGAATATAGCTATTAAAGAACAAAATAAGAAAAGTGAGACTTGTAAAGTTTTCGGCTTTCGAGGCAACAGAAAATTAAATTTTCATAGAATATAAGTAGAGGATGATAACAGGATGCTGTTAATTCATTTAATTTCGAATTTTATTTTAATTTTTATTTTCAAGAGAAACTTATCCAATTATTTAACGCTTTAGAAATATTATGAACAAAATGTTATCGTATAAATTGCATTCTAAACTCACCAAAAAATTATGTAAGAATTGAAACATCCTGTATATATCGTGTTGTTATGAAAGGCGCAGACGTTGTCACAACTATACGACATATTGATCTTTTGAAGATTTTTTTCACAATGGATATCAACTTGGCAAAAATACAGCAACTAAATTTAGTACCTAGAGAGAGACTATAAATATATATTTTTTCTTCCCTGTTTTTTCTACAATCTACATAATAAAGAGAGGACAAATACTCAGTTAGTGATTTCATTTTACAAAGAAAAGTAACGAGAAAGAGGAAATTAGACAATTATATAAAATAGTAATAATTTCGTCAACCATATCTGGCTATAAATACTATTTATTAAACTTTACGACGTTTCGGCCATAATACAATAGTTAGTTCGTAACACATTATCATGACAGTACATCACGTCATGACCTAAGATCAAACAAGTAGTGTTATTACAATAATGCGGTATTAAGTAGCACTTGATAAGGGCCGAAACCCATGGCCGAAACGTCGTAAAGTTTAATAAATAGTATTTATAGCCAGATATGGTTGACGAAATTATTACCATTTTTAATTATTGACTGGTGACTTCTTAGTTCTTTATATATATAATTATATAAAATATACATATGTATATAAATTTCGTCTAATTTCATAAATTAAAATAGATAAAATACTAAATAAGTAATTAATTTCTTAAATACTAATCTTCACTCTCCAAGGTTCGTTACTTTCCGAACATCTCCGATAACAAATTGATACCCTCGCGCATCATTATACTTGTAACCGCGTCAACTGCCGATGTCAATAGCGGACGCGCAGAATCACGCGTCCGCGAGATATCTGGAATTTCCGGGACTTCCGGCAAACACACAGCGGCGCTCGCAACATATATCGGGAAGCACACACAGAAGAGAGAGAGAGAGGAACAAAAACACGCAAAGTCCCTGGACGCCGCGCGCGGGCTTTTGGCCTGACCTCGCTTTGTCACCAATTAGCATCTCCCTTAATGACGATCGCCGAGCGTACACGCGCGCGCGCTCGCGTGACGTTCACACGTGTATACACACACACACACACACACACACACGTATAATGCGAGACGAAAGGGAGACACAGAGAGATCCATAAAAAAAAATCCTTCGTTCCCCACCGTTCGTGGTTGCCCCACCATCACGGGTCTCCCTCTACCTGAACCCGTAATGAATGCGTACCCCTGCGATTCCCTCTCCCACGTGTCACCTTCCCCCACTCCATTCATCTCGCGAAAGATCTTTATTTTGATCGTCGACCGATTAACGGCCACCGAGAACGCACTCTCCACGCCTTCGCCACGTCCGTTTGGCCAATCGGATCTCGCGCCGCCAGCCATTTTGGTCCAGCGGATGCTGCGCGCACGTGCAGCATCCCTCACCTCCTCTTCGCCCTTGCGGCGAGCCGCGAAGGGTGTGCCTCGAGCAGATGTGTGTGCGTCTAGTATAGGCGCGCGCGAGCGCGCGCGTTTGTTCATCGAGGCAGAGTATTTCCATTAGAGAACAGGAGCCGGGCGAGGAAGCTGCGCTCGCTGCATCCGCGGCTAACAAACGCGTTGTCAACATTTCGCGCGGAAACCGAGAATGGGGCGGTAAAGTACGTAAAATTGTTCGCGACATGGCGAATTCCTGTATATATACAATTGCGAATCGAGGGGTTGAAAAATGATCAGAGTCGTCGTTCGATAAGTAATAACAACAACGAAATGTATATCTTGTATATAGGGATTCTCGAGAAGCGTAGATGGTTAGCGACATTAAATCTTCAACAACGCGAATTTAGGGGGTGGAAAGGGCGGAAAGGGAGAAAAAAGGGCGAGAGTTCGTTCGTTTCCTCTTTCTTCCCGTATATACACGTCGAACATGTTTCTTCGTTTAAAAGAGACACGTACGTGTTCCGTTTCCGCGATATAGAAACTAACCCTCGGGGGGTTGGAAGGCTGAGGAGGGCGAAGTGAACCGGGAGATTGCGCAGTTCTCCTCTACTCTCCTCTCGCGTATACGTGTCATCGAGGTAGAGCTTATTTATAACGATAGCGGGATGGAGGAGTAGACGAGGGGTGATAAGAGAGGGAAGAGGGTAGCGAGGGCAAACCTTGCGAACCTCTCGCTTCATCTTCGTCTTCCCGATTCGCTCGCGGCGTATCCTCCGGTGGTGGGATATTTTCCCGGGGAGATGGTAACACAGAGGGAGTGCATCAAAAGGCAGAACGATCCGGGACCTCCGCGTATGTATGCATGTACGTACATCGAGCTGGTCCCCCACGTGGACGGATAGTGGGGGACCAGTTTTTTCGCATCTCGGTTTGTGGGGGTGAAACCTCCCCTCGCGTCTCGTACACAGCTACAAACCCGAACCACTAGGTAGACTAGGTATAGGCCGACGACATAGGAGAAGGAGTGGGGCATCGAGGGCAGGACGATCCAGAACTATCACACACGAGGACTATTGTCCGAGTTCCCGTGCGTGCTCCAGAAGCGAGACGAATCACGTTTGTGTGAGTAATCCTTTCTCCCTCCCAATTCCCCCTTTCTCCGATACGTACGTTCCAGCTTGTCCTTCCCTCCCCTCCTGTTCGCGCGTCCCTTCCCCACTCTCTCACTCACTCTCTCTCTCTTTCTCTCTCCCCGGTTTGATGCCGCGTATCTCTCGACATCGCGGACACAAGCAGACGCGCGACGGCAGCGTCCCCGGAGCGTGCGGGTTTCACGGGGTAGATACACGTAGGTCGGTAGGCTTTCTCGTGAATACCGTAGTGGGGAAAACCGTGAAACCGCGGGATCTCACCGAGAGGAAGGGGATTCAACCCGATTCAGGATACACGTCCTGAGCACCACCAAACGGCGGTACCACGAAACGCACGGCGTCGTCGCCCTGCCACCGTTGAGGATCGACGCCGTCGACGGCGTTCAAGAGAGTAGCACCCGGGTGGCAACGCGCGCGGAGCAGACGATATATGCGAGAGAGAGAGAGAGAGAGAGAGATAGAGAGAGAGAGAGAGAGTCCACGTTGATCGTCAACGACCGCGCGCTGAGCGGTCCTTCGTCAAGTGAGTAGTCGGATCATTCGGTAGTCCCTCTTTTCCTGGAAGGGATCGACGAGAAGAGATCGTCCGCGAGACAAATCCGTGCCCTCGATCGCGAAGTACACGTCCCGGAATTAATTCGCCTGACACTTTCGGAGTGACGTTCATCGAGACATGATGATGATGATGATGATGATTCGCGAGTGACGACGTACGAGAGAGAAACGAGACATCAACGAAGCATCATCGAAGAGGAAGAAGACTGTAAAGTGGACGGTCACACGTGGCAGTGGCAGGACGACATCAGGACGTGGACAAGGAGAGACCGTCCAAGGATATCGTCCCTAGCCGGTACGGGGCAACGCGTCGAGAGCACGTCGGAAAAGGTAAGCGACGACTTGTTAGAGAGAATGAGGAGACTTTTGCATGCTCCGAGTTTCGTGGTAAAAAAAAAAGGGAGAGTTTTTCATATTTTTTCAGAACCGCGCTACATTTGCATATCGGAGCATACGTGTATTTCTCATGTATTCGTGTGCGTTTAAATCCATGTATTAAGGTTTCTATATCTTAAGGTGTGTCCCTGATGAAAAGGACATTCGGGACACGTTCGTCGATTTATGGGGCAGCTGCATATTATTGCAAAACAGGTGCGCGATTGGATTCTTTATGCAATTTTTGCATTTTGCTCCGAAAAAAAAATTTGTTTATATACGTTTTCTACATTCTTTATGCGCGATTTGAAAACTGCATCGTGTTGCTCTGACAATTTGCTCGCGTCAATCAAGCACGAATACATTATTTATATCGTATAACGATATCGTGTCAAAGCAACATTTTTATTTTAGTTTTTTTGCGCGGTTATTATTAAAACTTACGTTACGCTTCATTGCTGATAAAGATTAATATAGAATAGTCACTGTAATTATTATTGTATGTTTGAATATAAAGTATCATGTGCGAATGCTATGCAGATATTTAGGCAGTAAAACAGCATCATAAATACATATTAATAGAAACTGCGTTATGTCTTATATAAGAACTGTGCCTATCTTATGTAAAAAAAATCTTATATAATATCATTGGAAAATTTTTCAAGATCTGCCTGGGTTTCAAGAATGACACGGTGAATTTTTTAATCATTCATGAATGACAAGCGCTAATTTAAATCGATAAAGATTACTTTTTTTCAAAACATTCTGATCTCACTGACTATATCTTCTTAATCGTGACACGATCGAATGATAGACTATTTTATATTTATTCAAGTCGATCATCGAATTGTTTTTCGTATATATTACATGAAGAAGAATTTGTACATGATATTCTAATTTCATAACTTGATATTGGAGTGTTATTGATAACGCGAACATCTCATAAATAGCGTAAATAACAAGATGTAAAAAAACATGACTCTTGTTTAATAACATGTGATTCTCGTCGCTTGATCATCTTGAAATTCGAATCTAGAATGTAATATATTTATATTAGAGCATGTCAAACGCAAGCTTTATTCTTGCATTTCTCTCATCGAACCGTCGGTAGCCTAAGTAAGCTAAGAAAGGTAAAATATGTTTGCACAGGCATATTTGGAAAGACAGCTGAAAATGATCTCTTCTTCACCCGATTTGCATTTAATTTAATTTAATTATAATCTTTGAGCTTTCTATATAAAATTTCTCGGATAGTTTCTATTTTTAGATATAGCTTCGCGATTAATACATTTTGCCATAGATTGTACGGCGATAAAATGATATTGAGCACCCTACATTGCACCTGGCATATAGAATTATAACGACGCTTTAAATTAAAACGTATAGGAGGAAGATTATCGCTGTGCGGCGTTAAGAAATAGCTGAAAAAAGCCACTGTGAAAATTCGTGGGCTATTCCCGAATTAGATTTTGGTCGAAACGCTGACGATTATCCCGACACGCCCTCGGATCGTTTGATTCACGAAGAAGCCACGGACCCTCCTTCGCTATAGTGAGACGAGTGAAATTTTGGTATTTGACGCTTGTCTGGGGGTTGTAAATTTCTCCGCATAATGTGAGGTCAACGTCCTTGTTCTTGACATTTATTGACTTCTTGTGTTACGCGTCTAAGTAATATAAAATAAAGCAATAAATATTGTATTTTTTGAACAATTCTTTCGTCATTTGCGACATGCAAACGCGCACATTGTATAGGTAATTAAATCGATTTTTAAAAGACGATGAAATTAAATTAATTTAATTAAGATGTTTACCGAGAATTAATGAGCTTATAGAAAGAGAGAAATATTCAAACGATGGCATTGCGTATAATAATATTGACAATAATCTTAGATGATTACGGACAAGTAGATCGGCTTAAAATTTCAAGCGCGGCTTCGTCAAGCCGCATGTGAAAGAGCGCAAATCGCGGTCATTATTCGCACGACTGAAATCGACGTAACCATGAGTCGATGACGGACGCGTAGAGTCCTTTTCCGCGTCGCTTGATGAATCCTCGACGCGATCGAACGCGCGATTCTGATAAATGAAGTCGCGGAAATCAGCCGCAGAGGCAGAAAGAAAGAAAGCAAGCGAGAACGGCTTGCGTTGCGTAAGAAAAGGAAACCTGCGGCGCCTTTTCGCGCGTATCACGCTCGCGGAGTGGCTCCCGGTAGCCAGTCGCATGCTCGTCCTGTTAATTGTCGCCAATTAACGAGGTACACCTTCTCGCCGGCGTCTCATCTTGCTTCACCGCACCACCTCCTTATCGGCTCTATTCACAGGATCGGCCGCCGTCTTTTCTCTCCGGCCAGCTCGTACACCCTGACGAGCAGCGGTAAACCATCGTTCGCGCTTTTGTCGGCATAACGCCACGTCATCCCCGCTAATCGTCATCACGAAAAGTACGCCGCGTTTATACGACGTCCTCACGACGACGATAAAGACCGCTACCGGCCCCGCGAAGAGAGTGAAACGCGCCGCGCGAGCATCAATCTTTGTACCGATTTCTTTGGCCGGGAAGGCCGGTGATTCTCTAGCCGCGGCGGGATCGGTAATACGAGTTTAGTTACCTATCGCATCATCGGGATATTCCGGCACCGAAATCGCCGCTCGTTAGCGAACGTACATTCGCGCGCTCGGGAGGTAGAGAGAGAGAGCGAAGAGTACCTTCGTACCTTCGAGGAGAGCCACTCGAATTTTTGCTTTTTTTCTTCAGAGCGTTCAGTCGGTTCTTATTTTCAGTTTTGTTCGCGCGAAATTAACTTCTTCCGGCGAGAACGATGGTTATTAACATCGTTCCTCGACCGGTCACGATGTTCTGAATGGATATACTTGAGAGATTTTAAATCGTCATTTGTCAAAAGTTTTAGCAAATGACTTTTAACAGGTGACCTCTTTTATAAGCGAGTTAACTTGGGGGTTTTTTTTATTTTTGTTCGACGCGCCGTATGCAATTTTAATTGCTCTCTCATAGCAAGAAATTCGAATTTGAGAAATCATAGATGATATTTAGAATAGAAGATTTTTTGTTTATGTTGAATATTCTACTATTGTGCTTTGTAAATGACAGTTGCTGACGAAATCCTACATCTATCGAAGAATTAAACAGGACAATGTATATCAATTAGCAGCTAATAAATAGGCATTAATTCTATTTGATGGATTTGATGGATTATAATCGTTCTTCAAACTAGCATTCCAATCACGTTTATATCCATCTACAAAAGGCTCAATGGTCAATCAGTCATCACATCACGCATGCTAGAAATGCGTATATATATATATATATATGTTTCAGAATTATCGTTTATAGAATGTTTTCTCTCGGAGAATAAATGTATAATTAACATATTAATGTACTCCGTATTAACATATAAATAATATAAGTCAAAGTCACGACAAAGTCTGGATTATATTTGGACACCAACGTAACGAAGGAAGCGATGAAAGAATTCGAAGGAATCGGTTTCGATCGTCGTGGAACCGAGCCGTCGGGCATCGTCGTCTTCGCTTTTACTCGCGTCGCGTTCCTGGTTCACGCGACGCCCGAGAAAGATGGTACCAGCGTCATCCTCGGTCCCGCGTTCTCTCGTAGTGCCCTTTTTCTCACAAGTCATCTCCGTAGGTGCACGGTTTTCACGGCCGAGAAGAAGTGGCCGACGACGGGGGGTTCGCGATATACGTCTAGCGGTCCGGAGCTGACGGACAAACGCACAATGAGAATATGGAATGCCCCGCAGAGCCAGACATGAAGACGTCACTCAGAAATGGTAACGGCCAGGACACGGGGTCAGGCTCCATCCGACCGTTCCGAACTGGTTGCTCCGTGGTTGCTCCAGCTGCGTTCTCTCGTCAAGTGAGTCAGCTCCGAGTTCGGACGGCGTCCGTCGCGTCGGAGCACCACCTTCGGAATTTCATTCCTTCCGCGAGTGCCTTCGAGTTCACGCTTGGAAATTGTCCAAATTCGTACAGCTCATGGTAAACACAGTAAATCAAAGTAGCAGGGCCCTCTCAAACGTCTGTCAACGTACATGATAAACATTTACTGTATACTGACAGTGCAATGAAGCAAACAAGAGAAATAAAGCTTAGTCACAGAGAGGGAAGTTGAGACGAGAATTAGAGAAATTGATGGAAAATTGTATTATATAATTTATTGACGAGATATATCTCTTTGATGTATCTTGTCGTCGAAGATGGAAATTCTTGTAATTAGCAAGAAGTTAAAGAGAAATCGTAAATTATATTAAATTTTATTTAATATAACGTAAATGTATACGAAAATCTTTCTCCGCTACCCTGAAACATTTGTCACAACATTTTCGAGGTATACACGCCAAATGGTTTGTAATCGGATGTAACAAATATTCATTGAACAATGTGCATATTCGCGCTTAACAATCAGATAACGATTCCGGGAATATTCGTCCGCTCCGGAATATAAAGCGGAATCTGTCAAATTTTTTCGAAAATTCGACGGCGAGCCCGGCAGGACGCGAACGATTAACGCCAGGGAGGCGAGGTATAAATCTTACGCAATTTAAGCTCGAGCTTCGCGCGGCTGACAATGAATGGCGAAGCGCCATTTCAGCGCTTCGTTGGCTCGTAATGCGGCCGTAAATTAAGTCCCGCGCCGATTGGTCCATGTCCACGTCCCGTGATTTACAAGCGACGACGCGATATACCCCCATGTCCTCCAGGAACTTCGAAATCGCTCGCGTTCGTCGTCTGTCACTTTTCTGTGACGTAAATTTTGTGTGCGAGCAAAATTTCGCAACGCGCCTTCGCTGCGCTTCGAGAAAAAATAAAGGCGCTTCCCGCGCAAGACCTGCATTTTTGCGCCGAGATTTCCGAGCGGAACTTTGTTCACAATCGCCTGTTAAATGCTCTTGCTTCATCCCATTGCGATCATTT